ACGAAACAGCAAAAAGAAAAAAGCAATGCTGTTTTAGCATATATTTTCAATTATATCGGGGTTCAAAGTGAAGAAAATAATGAATACAGTAAAGATGTGCGGCAATCTGTTTATATTTTTATATCCATTTTGAAAAAAAAGTGGACGCAGGCCCATCGAACAAAGCTTGTGTTTGAGAATTCTGCTCCGTCAGAAGCGTCTGCAATGAAAAAAAAAATAAATTTTTCTTTTAAGGAACCAGTACCTTACACTTTAAATGAGGCTTTAGTTTTATATATTGATGGAGGATACACGAAAAGCACGTATAACCTGATGCGTTCGGGTGCAAAAAGTCGCAATGCCAACATCTACCCCTCAGACAATAAACTCTTGGGGGCAAAAATGGAGTGCTATCCAAAAGATGGTATCAAAATTTGCGATATATCGGCTGAAGTGTCTTTGCAAAGTTTGGTAGATCACACTACAAGAAGACTTTTAGAGCAGCAAAGAGAAGTTTTAAGGCACTACAAATGCAATGAGCTTGTTTTGACATTTAAGTGGGGATGTGATGGCAGCAGCGGCCATTCGCGATATAAGCAAACGTTTAATGACAGTAGCGAAAAAAAACAGACGAATTCTTGTTTGCAATTTGTTTGGTTCCCTTGCAACTCAAAGAAAATAATAAAATTATTTGGCACAACCCACGTCCATCCTCTACAAGATTTTGTAGGCCGATCAAACTTATTTTTGAAAAAGAAAGTAAGTCATTGGTTGAAAAAGAAATAAATGCCGTAAAAGCTCAAATAGCTGCGATAGGTCCAACTCAAATTTTTGAAGAAGATGAACAAATTAATGTCACTCATAATTTTTATTTGACAATGATTGATGGGAAAATATTCTCGACAATCGCGAATTCTTCTTCACAATGTTGTGGAATTTGTGGAGCATCGCCAAAATTTATGAATAACCTGAGTGCAATAGAAACATTTGACCCAAAAGAAAACCTTTATGAGTATGGCTTGTCAACATTGCACGCTTGGATAAGGTGTTTTGAATGTGTTCTTCATATTGCGTACAAGCTAAATGTTCAAAAATGGCAAAGCAGAGGAGACTCCGATAAAGTAACAATAGAGGCAACAAAGAAAATTATTATTGATCGCCTGAAAAAAGAAATGGGCCTGCTGGTTGATATTCCTAAGCCGGGATGTGGCACAACGAATGACGGCAACACGGCTAGAAGATTTTTTCAACAACCAGCTTTAGCTTCCGAAATAACTGGTGTTGATGAACAATTAATAAAGAGATTTGCAGTAATTTTAAATACTATGTCCTGTGGCTTTGCTATTAATGTGGAGGCATTTCGAGATTATGCGATGCAGACAGCACAGCTGTACATACAATTGTATTCAAGGTATTATATGCCATCGAGTGTTCACAAAGTTCTAATGCATGGGGCAGACATTATTCAATATGCTGCACTGCCTATTGGAATGTTATCCGAGGAAGCCTTGGAATCTCGAAATAAGGATTTCAGGAATATCCGAGAGAATCATACAAGAAAAATGTCGCGAGAAAAAACAATGCACGATCTCTTTCATTATCTACTTTTATCATCGGATCCTCTTATATCATCTTTTTCAACCAAACCTTCTCTTCGTTATAGCAGTACAGAGCCTTTATCTGAAGAAGTAATAGCATTACTTTCAGACGCGTCTGACGGGCTAGTTCCACACTCAGAAGTCGATTCAGAAAGTGGTGTAGATTCTGATTGAAGAATTCAAAACATAGGTATTTAATATTTTTTAACACACTTAAACTATTTCTCAATAAATCATAACGTTTTATAAAGTCAAGCAAATTTTATTCTGGCTACAACTATGAGATACACATTTTACCGATTGCTCTTATTTTTGATGAGAACATCCATTTTGATGTAAACATTCAGCATGCAAAGTTTCTCATCGATACATCTTCGCAAAACCAAGATATGATTTTTTTCCAGCTAGATTGAGCGTTTGGACCACTGTACCACTGGACCTTTATACCCGAATGGGTATAAAAAGCGACTAGTCACTTTTAAAAAATAAAAATAAAAATTTGCGCCAGCTGAGATTCGAACCGTGGCGCTCAGTTTTGTCAGGCGAACACTCTCTCTGTGTGCCAACGCAGCACATGAAATTTCATTGACGAAGTGCTTACACATCATTAAATCGTTAATAGTACCCGTTAGAGATGAGTTGGGGACTAATTGATCTCCAACAGTACACGTATGAGACTAGTTGCGACTAATTAATGCCGAATTGTACCCGATTGAGAGTAATCTTGGAATACTCTCTTTAGAGATTAGTCGCACAATTTTTTGCAGGGTAGTATATCTAAAACAAGTTGTGTTTTTGTATTCTCCAGCAAAAAATATCCAGTAACTTGCCAGTAACCAAATTTCGGAGAGTAAGCCAATATTTACTCCCAATGAGTGAAATATGCAAGAAAGTACGAAAACGCAAAATCAGCAAGAAGTTGCTAGTTTTATGAACAGCTGATTAATTTGTTATTTTCCGATGCAATTTTCTTAGAAAACTAGTATTTTCCATCTTATTATAAATTTAAATAGGTTTATTTTGTCAATAGCAGCTCTAAAGGCACCACAAACAATTATTTTGTTAATGTGAATAACATTAAGCATCATGCCATCAGCTGTTTTTCTTACTTGCAAATAGTTGCTAGTAAAAATTTATCCAGTAAAACTTGCAAGTTCAGCTGTCATTTTTTCTCTCTAAATTTCCCCTCTTTTGCTAGTTTCTTGCAAGTTTTTGCGTACGAAAACGACATCCAGTAAAAAACCAGTAAAATTAGTACTGGATTTACTGGATAGTGCGTACGCAAACAGGGCTACAATGCCCGCCAAACACTTTCCTGGGAAACGAACTATATTCGCTTTTCACATGTACACAATCGGCTTCTTACACGTATACAATCCGAACGGCAACGAAGTTTATTTAATTGCATGCAAACATTAGACGAAGCTGGTTGATGTCGCATTATTGTGTAATAAACACTGAGTAAACTATGTAATTAGTAGTAGTAGTAGTAATTTTATTTATTTTCTTCAGGTCCTGAATTACAGAAGCTTTGAGAAATTCAAACAAACTTAAAAAAAATAAACCATATAAATACACCAAATGTCGTTTAAAAAAATTATGTATGGAATTGACAACAACAACCACGCTGTCGAGTTTAAATAGCGGCAAATCAGCTGCACTTGATAGTAGCTGGTTGAATAAGGAAAATGAATTAGCAACAAGAGTTTACGGGATGTACATAGCTCAGTGGTTAACGCTTCTGACTTTGAACATCGAATTCGCAGGTTCGATCCCTGCTGAAGTCTAGAAAAAGAAGTCTGATGAGGAGATGTGGTGATCTCCGAAATAGTGCTATAACTTCTACCGCTTAGACTTTGTTGCTTTTTCAATTTATAGGTAAAGGTAATCGGTTTACCTTTCTTTTGATATATATTAACAGTTTCAAATCATTTATGGTAGTTCAGAAAAATTAAGTTTTCTTACAACTTTGCAAAATTTGACAAGTTGGACCTACACTTTGAAGGTGCACCTGGCGTTGAAGGTGCTGAGGGCGGAAGGTACCCATGGTGCTCCTGGCGATGAAGGAGCTGAGGGTAGAAGGTACTGGTGGTGCTCCTGGCGATGAAGAAGCTGAGGGCGGAAGGTTCTAATGGTGCTCTTGGCGATGAAGATGCAAGCGTTGAAGGTGCTGATGGTGAATCCCAAATCTGTAAACAAACAAAAATATCAATTAAAATTTATAACCATGTAAAAAGTCTCAATACANGTATTCTCCAGCAAAAAATATCCAGTAACTTGCCAGTAACCAAATTTCGGAGAGTAAGCCAATATTTACTCCCAATGAGTGAAATATGCAAGAAAGTACGAAAACGCAAAATCAGCAAGAAGTTGCTAGTTTTATGAACAGCTGATTAATTTGTTATTTTCCGATGCAATTTTCTTAGAAAACTAGTATTTTCCATCTTATTATAAATTTAAATAGGTTTATTTTGTCAATAGCAGCTCTAAAGGCACCACAAACAATTATTTTGTTAATGTGAATAACATTAAGCATCATGCCATCAGCTGTTTTTCTTACTTGCAAATAGTTGCTAGTAAAAATTTATCCAGTAAAACTTGCAAGTTCAGCTGTCATTTTTTCTCTCTAAATTTCCCCTCTTTTGCTAGTTTCTTGCAAGTTTTTGCGTACGAAAACGACATCCAGTAAAAAACCAGTAAAATTAGTACTGGATTTACTGGATAGTGCGTACGCAAACAGGGCTACAATGCCCGCCAAACACTTTCCTGGGAAACGAACTATATTCGCTTTTCACATGTACACAATCGGCTTCTTACACGTATACAATCCGAACGGCAACGAAGTTTATTTAATTGCATGCAAACATTAGACGAAGCTGGTTGATGTCGCATTATTGTGTAATAAACACTGAGTAAACTATGTAATTAGTAGTAGTAGTAGTAATTTTATTTATTTTCTTCAGGTCCTGAATTACAGAAGCTTTGAGAAATTCAAACAAACTTAAAAAAAATAAACCATATAAATACACCAAATGTCGTTTAAAAAAATTATGTATGGAATTGACAACAACAACCACGCTGTCGAGTTTAAATAGCGGCAAATCAGCTGCACTTGATAGTAGCTGGTTGAATAAGGAAAATGAATTAGCAACAAGAGTTTACGGGATGTACATAGCTCAGTGGTTAACGCTTCTGACTTTGAACATCGAATTCGGAGGTTCGATCCCTGTTGAAGTCTAGAAAAAAGAAGTCTGATGAGGAGATGTGGTGATCTCCGAAATAGTGCTATAACTTCTACCGCTTAGACTTTGTTGCTTTTTCAATTTATAGGTAAAGGTAATCGGTTTACCTTTCTTTTGATATATATTAACAGTTTCAAATCATTTATGGTAGTTCAGAAAAATTAAGTTTTCTTACAACTTTGCAAAATTTGACAAGTTGGACCTACACTTTGAAGGTGCACCTGGCGTTGAAGGTGCTGAGGGCGGAAGGTACCCATGGTGCTCCTGGCGATGAAGGAGCTGAGGGTAGAAGGTACTGGTGGTGCTCCTGGCGATGAAGAAGCTGAGGGCGGAAGGTTCTAATGGTGCTCTTGGCGATGAAGATGCAAGCGTTGAAGGTGCTGATGGTGAATCCCAAATCTGTAAACAAACAAAAATATCAATTAAAATTTATAACCATGTAAAAAGTCTCAATACATACCTTAAGAATGTGACTAAGTCGCTACTGTTTTGCAATCTAAAAGAAGAAATTACATTATAATTAAATAAAATTGTTAAATATGTATTCTTACCTTCAAAATTTTCGCAAAGTGACATTTCTTCACAGTATGTATACTGTCATCAAAACTCCGATGTTTCTAACATGCTCGGTCTAACGCATAGAATTCTTATTAGAGTACGAATTCTTATCGGGTATGTAGCTCTAACAAAGGGACATTTTTTTGACAGTTCGAACAAAAAATTTGTAAGTGTGTGGGTGTGATGACTAAAAAGTTGTGAATGTGTTTGTAAATCGTTTGAATTTTAGGGGAAAGTAGTGAGCCGTGGCTGGCAGGGACTGATCTAAAACATATGTGTTGCACTACACATATTGTTGGTATGTATAACTTATCTATAAAAACACTTAAACCTATAGTGCCAGGAAGTAATAAAAATAAATAGTCTACGGTTTCGCTTGCATTTTAAGCCAATCCCATTTCATAACATTTAAGAAATGCATACGTGACTATTTCCATACAACCTGGCATTGAATTCGAATGTCTATAAAGACCTGAGATTGCCAACTAAACAACCCTTTGCTCATATTATGCGCATGTGCACTATGTATGTTTGTATGTACAATGCCGTTGCACGTGCGCACAATTGACAAAACTCACCGCGATGACAATTGATATAAAAATGGCAATTGCAATTTGTTGGTATTCACAGCAAAGCTCAAATCATGCCAATTGTCATTTTTATTGTCATGACCTTTTGGGCAGCTGACAAGGCAAAAACATACAGTGCGACAATTAAATAAATTTGTGAATAAAATATAAAAATCGACTAATTTCAATGGCAGAACAAATTTTAGTTATGTGCGCAGCCGTGCTTCAGGAAGACGATCAAAAGCTGGAAAGGAAGCGGCTTTTGAGGGAGCTCAGGGACGACAGCGACCCGTTTTCGATGCAGGAGATAGTTTTTATGCAAAATTTTCCATTTCCTAAATCCCTTTGTCGCGAACTAACGCAACAATTGGAGCCACGCGACCCTCAGAAGTCCGCCATCCTTTTTTTAATAAGATTTTTGGAGAGTCTATGCGCATGGTTCATACCAGAATTGTGTAGGAAACAACTTCCAAATTGCGATGAGCCAGCCGTCGGTGTCGCGCGCCATTCATCACATCTCAAAGCTAATAATGGATAATAAGGGCGGCGAAATAAGGTTCCCCAAAACTTCAAAATAGGTCTTGGAAGTTAAAAAATGGTAATAAATAGAATTTTTTAAAAAAGGTAAATTTATTTAATGCTATACAATTTTTTTCAGCTTTTATACGGCATTTAAGATTAAGTGCACGATAGGTGCCGTTGACTGCACGCACATAGGGATAGTCCATCATCAACAGACCCAAGTAACCCTCTATGCATGTATATGAAACGGTAAGGTTTCTACAGCATTAACGTAGAAGCTGTAAGTATTACTACATATTTTTCTTTACATACAGTAATCTTATCTTATAAATATTATAAATGTGAAAGTTTGTATGTTTGGATGTTTGGGAAATCATCACGCGGAAACGACTGAACGAATTTGCATGAAATTTTGTACGCAGATAGCTTATGGGCCAGATTGGTTAATAGGCTATTTTTTTTAAGAGTTGCCGCCTGTTAAAAAAGTTTCATTTATTTAATATGCTGGAACGACTGAATGGATTTGCATGAAAATTTGCACACAGATAGCTTATGACCTAGATTGGAAAATATACTACTTTTCTTAAGAGTTTCCACCTGTTAAAAAAGTTTCATTAAATTAATACACGGAAACGACTGAATGGATTTGCATGAAATTTTGCAAGCAGATAGCTTATGACCTGCAGTGGAAAACAGGCTAATTTTTTGGAGGAGTTGCCACCTGTTAAAAAAGTTTAATTAAATTAATACGCGGAAACGACTAAACGGATTTGCATGAAATTTTGCACACAGATAGCTTATGACCTAGGTTAGAAAGTAGGCTACTTTTTTTAAGAGTTGCCACCTGTTAGAAATGTTTAATTTAATTAA